ATATATATATATAAACAAACTCGATAAAGAGTTACAGATTCCAGGAAAAATGGATGCATAATTCTTTACACATTCAGAGTCACTATCCCCGATACAATATCAGAGGAGGTGGTTGGAAGTTAGATAAAATGAAATCATATTTAGTACACATCTGGAACATTTTTGCCTGAGAGGCTGTGCTGCCTGGAAGTATATATGGGATCAACAAAGGCTTAGGGAAATCCCCGGATGACAGATACAAAGTTGGGTATAAAGGCCAACATCATAGTGTGCTTCTCATTTCTGGGTCCCGGGAAGCAGCAGGTCACCATCAAAGTTTACACCTAGCACTCCTGCTGTCACAGTATTAGGTGAGTTAACCATAGATTTGCCCTCATGAAACATTTCATAAGCTCCTGTGTCTTCCCTCAAAGTGGACTCAAAGCAATAAGGGCTGAAAAATTAAACATATTCATCCACTTTTGCTATGAAGTAGCAGTTATTAATACATACGGAATATGTTCTGAGTTTTCCCTAACATAGACAAGTATAAATGTTCATACAGGTTTTTACAAAAATGATCATTTCAGAAAATGGATATATTTTCCTCACTTTTTCTAGAAATACTGTTTTATTTTTGTTGTGTATTTAACTTGTTACGAATGATTAAGAAAAATATTCCTAAATGATACTTCTCATTAATTTTTATTATTTCTTTTTCATCATGGAGTTGCTTTTAGGATAAGGTAGTAATGCTCACTGTGGTATGAAAAATTTGGTTTTATAATAGTAATGACTTGTGATGGATCATCTGACAGGCACGATTTAGTTTAACATCATTAATTCATTGCGATTTAATTTGGCAAATGACTAGCTTCATGCATCTTTCATTTCTGAATTACATTCAGCAAGGGTTCATAGGGAGATTTAAATTACTAATGTTCTTTGTTTTCCAAGAATTCCATTTATAACAATTATGCATGGAATTTGATGATATATCATCCCAGGAGAATCTCTTTCTGGCCTTTATCATTCCCTAATTAACATATATTATTATGAAATGACACTTCATTTATTTTGTCTTTGTAGGTACTGAGGATTGAAACCAAGGAGCAGCTGAGCTACATTCTCAGCCCCCAAACCCCATTTTTCCTCTGATTTTGAGTCATGGTCTTGCTGAGCTCCCCAGGCTAGCTTTGGAAGTGGGATCCTCCTGCCTCTGCAACCTGAATAGCTGGGATTGCAGACATGTGTCACCATGGCTGGGTTTCATCTATTTTTAAATCACTCACCAGGTTTTTAAATATGTCTCATGTATCGTAGTGGTTCTGAAGCTTCCATAACCTCACCAAGAATGTGGTTTCTCTCTTTGGGAGTTTATGCTTAAACAGGCAAGACAGACACAGGAAAAGAAACTTCTGTTGTATAGTTAGGGCTGTGAACAGAGATATGTCCAGGAATTATGGGGGCAGATGTGCAGAACCACCAACCTGTGATGAAAAGGAATCGAGAGACTGCTGGGAAGGACAGGTCCTGCTCTGAGTTGTGAATGGAGAGGAGGAGGCATGGAGAGGAAGGAGGATGTGCGAGACAGTAGGCAACAAGAGGGGATGTCAGGGTGGGCATGGAGAGTGACAGGCAAAAATGTCACGGTGTACATGGAGGAGGGAGGGGAAGGGAGGGGGAGG